GTGATACTGTGTACCCTTGCCTGGGGGGATGCAAGGGAAATATATTGGCTTTTATGTTAATCTGTGTGTGTTGCATGCACTAGCATGATCTTGCTGCTCCTCAAAAATCAGGCAGACAATTTTAAACTCACTTTTTATTATAAGTAAATATATTGAGACTCTTTAAATGGGAGCTATTTTGACCAGTGCAAATATGACTACAGTAAAATCATCTTTTATTGAATTTGAATTTAAAGCTACCAAACTCCTCCTTTTATTGTTTATAAGATAAGGAAGAAGTGTTAAACAGCTCTGATTTTTCCTTGTTTTTCAGAATTAAATGGGAAAATATGACTGTTTAATTTTGAAGTGATTATCAATATAGCCACAGTTCTATATTATAATTATGAACACTGTATAAGCTATGAAATCATTAGTCCTTAGCACGGTAGTACATTGCTTAGAAAAGTTTTATTTAATACAATCATTGAGTTACTGTTTTGGCAATTACTTTTTTGTCATCCTTTCTTTTCAGGAGGGCTGAGACTCTGGCTAGTCAAGTGAACTACTTTGGTAAAAAGATTAAGAGGTACTAACTCATGCTTGGTTAGGGGGCTGATTTTGTATTTGTAAAACCCTCAGAGTGAAGGTCTTTCTAGCTGTTGTGCAGGTTGTCTGTTTCTTTTCTCTCCAGCCTTATGCTTTGGACCTTGTCTACCAAACAAACCAAGTCTTGTCAAGGTGTCCTGCAATGAAGTATTGCTTCTTTGCTGCTACTCTCTGAGTTAGGGGTGCTGCTTAACCCTCTGGTTGTACTGTTCACTCAACTGTAAAATAGATCAACAATGGCACACTACTTAGAATGATTTATGTGAATTAATGGTCTTAGTATATATGAAATAACTTGAAGAAATGGTGATACTTATGAGACAACTGGATCCCAGTTTTTATTTTTTAAAAAAACTAAATTTATGAATACATATTCCCTAAATTACTTTTTCTTGTGTGACATCTTTATTATGGGAATAGACTGAAATTTTAGTGCGATCATGAAAACTTTCAAGAAAGTGCCAAAAGATCGAGATGATACATTTACAAATATTGTCTTTTTATATTATTCTATCTCTTTTCTAGTCTTTACAATCATAACATAGAGCATTGTCCAGTCCACTGCACTGAAATTTATCTCATTTTCCTATGCTTTTCTGTTACTAACAATAAATAATCTCAGTGGTAAAGGCCATGACAGTTTTATTACATTATATCAGTATAGATCCTAGAAAATGTTTTCACACCTTAAGTGCCACTCAATATTTGATACAGAAATAAGGCCAACAATCACTGTTAAAATAAAACAGTCACTTTTAGGAGGTTTAAGATAATTAATACAATGGGGAACAAAATTCCATTCTTTATGTATTGCTTTTCTGATGGTAATACATAAATAATTTCACTCATTGTAACAGCTTCTGGGGCTAAATGAATAAATAGTAAAGTTTTTACACATTACATTTTGGTGATAAACTTATCAATATCTAAAACAAAATACATAACATTTCTGTCTATTATATTTGGGTGAAGAATGAAATCATTAAATCATGTGTATTATTCCTTATTGTAGATATATAAATTCTTACTAATTACAGGTAACAAAACAAAATGCTCTGGTATTTCCATTTTAAATTCAAGCCTAGATTTACCAGAAAAATCCAAAGGTTTATGGCAATGCGTAGCAATACCCTAATTCAGCCAAATATTGGGAGCTTAGTAATCTTTAGTTCTCATTTTTGATTTGTTGTATATTAAAAATCTAAATCCTCAACTAAATTTAGAAAAAAGAATTTTGAACTTAAAACTCTTTAATGTTTCACAGTTTGATTACTTCCATAAAATTATTATTTGTCTTTAATGTATATTCTTTGTAGTTCCAAGAGATGGTAAATTTAATTCTTGAATTGTTTTACTTTGAAAAATCCTGTTCAAAATTACCAAGACTGGATACATTAATAAGAGTTATTTGTTACACTATTTCACTAACAAAAAGTTTTTGTAGAATTACCTCTGCATGGAAATACATAGTTCTCTATATTGAACGTTTTCATATTGATGTTTTCATTATCGCATTGTGAGTTATATATAAAAGAATGAGAGATATACATGAACTTCATTAATACAATAAAATATTCTTCACTTGGAATTTATATATTTTATATATTAAAGTGAGATAAAGTTTAAAATAGTTCATGGTTACCTGTGTTATATGGGCCAATCTTGATTCTGTCTCACTGTAGAGGTTCAGCTTTCAGATATTTAAATTGCATTAGCTTTAGCTATTGGTATCATCAAAAATATTCAGCATACTATAATAATACTCTGGTCCTTATAAACATATCACACTCTTAAACCGGTCTTGTGTACCTAAGGGGCTTTTTCCAGGTACATATTTAAAGTTTTGATTAAAAGCTTCTCTTTGGTATCTATTGATTTGCTTTATTTAATTTTGACAACATGGCCCTGCTGAGAATACACTAACTTCAGGGTCCGCAAGGAACAGAATGCACTGTCCTTTTTCTCTTACACATGAAGACAGTTTGCGGGCATTCAAAACTGACAGATAACCGATTATTATTTTATATACTGTAAGTGGCCCATATGGAGCTGTTATGTATATGTGTGTTACACCTTAAGGTGCTATTTGCTCTTATGAATGATGTGTTACATATTAAAGTCTAACATCCAAAGAGTTTTATCGACAGACAAACAACAGTTCACAGAGAAAAAAAGAAAAGTCATTACCTAAATAGAGGGACTATTATCCAGTGTTAATCATAATAATAATAAATGATGATACCATGTAGGCATTAATGTGCATAGACACTTTTCTATATATAAATGGAAATCTGGGTTCACTTCTAACTAGCACAACTGTACTCTTTGAATCAACTAATGAATCGTGCATTAGTATAAAGTTTTGCAGAAAAACAATGTTGCAATGTTTAACCTTCAAAGGAGTAAGATAAATGTTGCACCATCATGTGGGTTGTGCTTAATGAGCATGTTTGGATCACAAATAAAATGAAATGCAATTTATCATCTTCTGTGAGGCTGCAATTTTGCCAGCACCAGCGAGCAGTGTGAATTTAAAATTAAAGCAAGCAGCTTTAATTTTAATGCTGTCAACTACTGTTTTTCTTTGCATAGTTTTCAGATAACTCTAAGGAAGAATTTGATAATTTCTTCAGATTTTTTTCTTGTGCTGGGAACAGCCTTCACTTGCTGAGACCCAGGATATCTTAAGATACAAGAAAAATGCACAAAAATAAACAAAAATGTGTTTCGTTTGTTATAAATATTAGAAATTATATTTGGCTTGGCTTTCTGTATTTACATTCATAAAAAATAAAATTAAATTGTCTTTAAAAAATTAGAGACTAGCATTATTCTTGACTATTTAAGCTGCAGTTTTTATTTATTTTAGAGGCAAGAAATAATTCACACTGCTTGCTGGCAAAATTGCAGCCTCACAGAAGATGATAAATTGCATTTCATTTTCCTTGTGATCAAAACATGCTCATTAAGGACAATTTAGTACTAGAGGAAAATGTAAAATGTATGCATACATTTTTAAAATTAGTAAAACTTTTTGGATGATATTTTACTGCTATCAAAAGCCTTTTTTCTTACAGCTTGTTTTCCACAATAATATATTTGACCCATGATTTCTTTGGGTGTTTTATTCATTTCATCCCTTTCTGGTTTACTTTTCATTGTTTTACACATTTATGTCTAATTAAATTTAGTTTATTTATTAAAAGACTATCTCCTCTGTACTATTCCTTACTGTTTTTTTTTTTTTTTTTTTCATATCCAAGTATGTCTATGTGCTGATTGCAAGTTGGGTTCTCTATGGCATGTCTTTGATGCAATTAACTATAATTGAATTACAGTACATTATTTGACTTTCTGAAGCATTATAGTATGAAGCATTTCCATTGGAATAGATCTTCCCACTTTACTGTTCTTTCAGTGCGTCTTTGCATAGCTATTTCTATTTTCACAATTTTGACAAACTTAGCAAACTCCTGACAACCATGATATCGAATGCAGCAAGAAGAGAAACAGCTGATGACAAATACAACAGAGTTTGAACAGATATTCTGCTGAAGGAGAAAAACATTTTTAAATGAACCACGAAACAACTCTCAGATTCTAACTTTCTTAGTAGAATTTGATTGACAAGTAATCCTAACGGAATGCCATTATTCAATGAAAAATTGAATAAGTTAATTAGATAAATAGAAGCTGTTACAGAAGCTGTTACAATGAGTGAAATTATTTATGTATTACCATCAGAAAAGCAATACATAAATCTAATTAACTTATTCAGTTATTATTCACATGCTAAAGAATTAGCATGTGACTGAAGTTCTTCTATTCCTTATAGAATAAAATAAAAGGTTAAAATATGTCAGAATATAAGCAATATAGTTATATGTTATAATATACATAACTATATACTATAACATATGTCATCTATTCCATAATAATAATATATATTATGATTATACAATATAGCAATATTGTTATATAGCTTACTCAATAAAAATTCTCCATAAGCTTACCACATCTAGTACATTTTCCTGAATGATAACCTTATGAAAATAATGCCTATATAAACAAGAAAATAAAAAAGTATAACACTATTCTTTAGAGAGACAAAAGAGCATGTGGCATGAACAGACCCATAGAAGTTTGCACAGTTTTCAAAGCATTCTAGTACAGCCCTAAATTTGAGAATAACAGACTAGCCCATGAAATATGAGATTTGTTGAAAACATTTTATTAAAAAAATATACTGTAGATACAATCTTGGTATCACAAGTGGCATAAGAAATTAAGTTCAGGTTTGAGTAAAAATTAACACTACTGAGTCAGAAAAGCAAATTAAGTTAATCTTATGATTATACAATAGCAGACTTAAATGTAAAACATTCAATTAGTTGAAAGATTCAACAATTGCTTTAAATATTAGTCACCAGTTTCCTCAAGGCCATCATGACATCTTTATTCCTCAGAGTGTAGACCAGAGGGTTGAACATCGGGGTGATGATAGTGTAGAAGAGAGACAGAAGTTTATCCGTGTTGGAGAACTCTGTGGATTTGGGTCGTAAATATGCAATGATTCCAGACCCGAAGAATAAAGCCACAACGATGAGATGCGAAGAGCAGGTGGAGAAGGCTTTGACTCGTCCTCCTGCTGATGACAACTTCAGGATGGTGGAGATGATTTTAATGTAGGAGCCAAGAATTAATAGAAAAGGGATCGCAATGAACAGCACGGCAACGGAAAAGACCAATATCTCACTTCGAAAACTTTGCCCACAGACCAGCTTGAGTATTGGTGGGCTGTCACAGAAGAAGTGATTGATTTGGTTGGATCTACAAAATGGCAGCGAGAAAATCTGAAACGTCTGTCCTACCTGGAATGGAATTCCAATGATCCAACAGGTGGTCACCAGCTTGATACAGACCTTGTGGTTCATGATTACGGGGTAGTGCAGAGGGTTACAAATGGCCACGTAGCGGTCATAGGCCATAACTGCCAGGAGGAGGCACTCGGTTCCTCCAAAAATCAGGAAGAAGCACATCTGTGTAGCACAGGCAATCGAAGAGATATTTCCTTTTAATGTCCAGATGTCCAATAGCATTCTAGGAAGAGTGACAGACACGTAACAGATTTCCAAGAAAGAAAAATTGCTGAGGAAAAAATACATAGGCGTCCAGAGGACTGGATCAACCTGAGTTATGAGAATGATGATCCCATTTCCTAAAAGGATGATCACGTAGATAAAGAGAAATATCGCAAAAAGAAATTTGTGAAGACTGGGAATCTCAGAAAATCCCAAGAGAACAAACTCTGTCATTGAAGTGGAATTTATTTCTAGTGGCATTTTTTAGTTTTCTATCTGTGAGAATAGAAAGATGTGTCATTTATATTCTTTGATCTACTATGCAGTACTCTCAACAAAATAGTTCCTAGAAAATAAACATATAACATTTCTAAATACATTCGATGAGTCAAGTTGAAACTGCATTTCCATTTCATTCCTGTCTGAAAGGGATAATGTTATCATCACTGTTCTTCCTAAACTTTTATTTAGAGTGTGCCATCACGCAGCAGATAATTGGTACATTTTTTGACCTGTTTCCTGGTTAAAAAAAGTGTGTGGTGTTGAAGTTTGCACGGGTGATGTTTTCTGCAGGACTGTGTAGTAAACTGATCCTCAGGTTACTTGCTCTCTGCCATGCTAATTCTCAAGTTTAAAGCTTGTTAATATATCTCTAGGATTTTCATATTCATTTACCTTGGACCTTAAATTTTCAGAAGCATAAGAAATTTTGATTGTAACAAGTTGTAGTCCCCTTTCAATAATTTTATTGAAATATAGACTGTTTTTGTTTCTTGAAATATCATCTTCAGATTTAATACATTTAAAACACTAAAATACAGGCTTAACACATAATAATCACTTAACGAATGTGAACACCTAAAGAGTGATGACAATAACCATAACTGCTAATAAATTAGCCTTTTAGATTAAAAAGGATTTTATATCTTATGCTCATTTGAACTAATAATATTAAATGTCTGCAAGTACAAAGGCAATATGTACCTCTTCTAAAATATTATAACATTAACAACAATGGGCTCTTTTTAAAATTTTTGTTTGATTTCATCTTATTGCTAATGCTTGAAATCTTACCGCTAATGTCACTGAAAAATAAATTTGCTGCTTACAAATTAGTTTGCACCTATACATTTGGAGCTGTTCAATACTTACATTTATTGATTCATTATGACAGTGGTACAGGTGTTTGCAATTGAATTAAGTTTAGAAATTTGCCTTTACTTGGAACACAGGGCAGGCCACCCCTTAATGTACGGTCTACATCTATTGTCAGAGGAGAGTTATTTAAGTAGCAGATGTTCTGTACCCGGGGGATACAGACCTTTCCCATGTTGGAGTCTAGATGAAGGACAGTATTTTTCCAGCTACTCAAGTACTTGGAGTAACAAGAACAGGAGCAAAAACAAAAACACCTATGTTACCTCTTTCTACCACTCCATATCCTCTGCATTTACTCTGTCTTTGTTTTCTGTGATTAAGAAATACACACACTGAAAGTACTAGAAATCTGTAACACATTACATGTGATGTAAACTAAGATGTTCTAATGAGACTGCACATGTATGGTGTCTCAAAATATAATTTCTAGCTAGACTGCTATGTATCCAAATAAATTCCTCTGTTTTTTCCATTACTTTCCCTCCATTTGTTTCAAACAATAATTTCCAGTTTGCTGATTGTGTTCCTGGTTAATCACCTCCACAGATTACTAATGAAGTAATAAAATAATTTTGTGTGGCACTGTTAGCCCCCTCACACAAACATAGACATACATACACAAAAAATACAACAGAGGAGAATATTAAAGATAGCCATAGCAACCTGCACAATGTGTACACATATAAAGACTGATAATTAGATAAATGAAAAAATTATTGCAGGAACATATCATGTTTTAAAACATACACTTAAAACTGCTGATATTTAAAAATCTTATATTTATACACCACTTTGTGATTAAATTTAATTCCAGACAATGAAACGCCTGTGCAACACAGTTTGGTTTAATTTGTGTCTTCATAATTGCCAATGAAGACAAACAACATTGATATGATTATGTGCTATATATTAGCTATATCCCTTCTTAAAAATAACTACTCTCTCTACATTAGTCGTTCATGGATTTCATTTTGTTCATTTCTTTTTCTGTTGTTGTATATAGAGAAATCTTCATATTCTCTCTCTCCTGTCTATATATAGATTTATAAATATATATGATCATATATATTTATTTAGTATGGTGCATGTATGAATTGCTAATATTTTGCTCAGTCTGTAATTTCACTCTTTCAAGAATGTTAACAGAAAAAAAGATTGCTACTAGTGAAGTCAAATGTGTAATTATTTTCCTTTATGCACGGTGCAGTTTGCAATATATTAAAGTGGTGAGCTTATCACTGGTGACAAATATTTTATCCTGTTTACTTCTACAAACTACATAACTTAGCACTCTCCAGGTGAGTCAATGATTCATCTTTGAGATTCTTAATGAATGATGCTTGATTTGTTCATCAATTTACTTATTTGACATGTAGAAGTTCAACCTCTCCCACGTAATTTATTTTAAAAGAACATCATTTTTTTTTACTGCTTATCAAAATTTAGCCTAGACTGCCCAAATGGTTTGAAAGAGGAATTCAGAAAAGCTTCAAACAAAACAAAACTACACACTGCCATCACTGAAAGTGAAAATCCGTACATGGCTACCAACTCCCCATAAGGAAGAAATTCATTGTGTATCACAAGAATGTACTACTAATATTTCTAAAATCTGCAACATGACAGCAGGCATAACAGATGAGAAGATGTCTGAGAAACTTAAGCCAACATCAGTAAGAAGACACAGGTGTGCTGTATTTCAGCAGCATGCTCTTCCCTCTGCTTAAGCAGAAAGGAACGGGTACCAGGGCTTCACATGGTGATAACTGGGAGGCTCTGTTAGGGTTATAAAAGCAGGCACAAACAACCTCAGGGAGGATACAGGAATGTAATTTCCAGGATCATTATCAAAAATGAAGGCAACTTCCTCATTAGCAAATAATTGGAGGCTGTATTATTTCTATCCCAGGGTTTCCATAAGTTTTGGAACATACTAGTTCAGAAATTTACCAGGGAATTTGTGTAGAATGAGAAAAAGGAAATGGACATTGTTAAGGTCTTGTTCGGTGTGACTTGAAAGACTGTGGCATTGTCGAAGGCTTGGCGAATCCTCAGGAGAGTCTACAGAGCTGGCAGATGTAACAAGAGTGTAAATGCAGAGTAAAGCTAGCACAAATTTATGAGTTCCCGAAATTTGACTGCTTTGTCCAAGTCAACCACTGACTCGTCAGTAAGGTAAGAGTCTCCCTGGCACAGGATACTTAAGAAGAGTATCCTTGTCTGACCATCAGCCACCCTGAGCAATACTGGGGACACACTGGAAGCCAGGCATTTAAATAAAAATTTAAAAATTTTGCAAAACGTATCAGTAGCTTTACCCAGTAAAGAAAAGCAATGCCATGAAAATTAGTCCCAACAAGTGACTAAACAGATAAATAGCAAAAACTAATATTCCTAGGTAGGAAAAGAATCGAGACTTCCTGTATTCCATTAGATAGGTCCTTCAGTTTTGACCAGGCAGGGTGACACAGGGCTGTAATCCCAGCATTAGGGGGCTGAGACAGGAGGATCACTGTAAGTTCGAGGCCAGCCTGGGCTACACAGTGAATTTAAGGTCAGCGTGTACTGCATAGTGAGACACTGTCCTAAAAAGACAAAAAGCTAAAACAAAACAGTTTTCACCAAAATCTATGATATCTAAGGTAGGAAGCTATTCAGAGAATCCAAATCAACAATTTAAACAGGTTGTTGCTGCCAGGCTTGCTTGCTTGGTTTAGGAGAGATGGGAAAAAGGATTTAAGTAGAAAGGAAGCAACAACAAACACCTACTAAATTTGTTTTAAAGAGACAATTACAGAAGTAATTATAAAGCCGACTGCACACCTTCTGTATTTCTCTCTTAAATCACTTTATGGCAAGGAGTTAAAGCAGGAACAAAAACAGTGATTACTAACTGTATTTTACATGTGAGACGTGGAGTATTTAAAACATAAAATTGTCATAAAAGAATATATGAATGTTATACCGAGCAATTAGACACCTTACACAAGTGGACAATTTTCTAGCGTGGCACTTTGCCTGAAAGAAATTGTAAGAAGCATATATGTATATAGAAGGATAGCTGGAAAAATTGTACTGCTGATGTCTAATGACTCATGGAAAGGAACAGTTAATGCTTAAAGTTTTTCTGACCAATTTTGCATGCTTATATCTGGTAATCTCAAGAACTAATTTGAAGACAATATGCACTATAACAACCATTGGTGAGTTCCTACCATCTTGTCTAGTGAAACTCTGTATCACTTCTAACGGACTTTTTTGTTTTTATTTTTTACTCACTTTAATGGTTTGATCAAGCTTGCATTCTTACATCTGGTAATATGAACAACTTCAATGATGTTAACAATATGTAAAATAACAACAACTGTTAATACCTATCATTTTGTTCTGAAAATCTGTATCATTATTATTGTTTTTGCTTTGTTTTGGGGGGGGCTATGTTGTTGATATTTTGCTATTATTCTTTATAATTCTCTTTAAAATAAAAAAATCATAATAATATCTGTATTGCCCTGTAATAAAAAATTGAAATGATAAAAACATATAGTTTCTCTGTTAATTGCATTTTATTTTGGGTTTTCAGATTTTTATTTTATTGATTTCTGACCATCATTATTTTTTTTTTCTGGTTGTTCTTTTGTTGACCTTTTCTATGTTTTTGATTTTCCTGTATAAATTTCATTGGTTAACTGGAAACATTTTTAATTTCTAAGAATGCTTTTAGTTTTTTGCACTTCCATTTAAGCAAAACATATTCCATAAAATTAGACTCATTTTTTTATTTTATTAAATTTCACTTAGTATTTTATTTCACTTATAGATTTTTAAGACATATTATCTGGATGCAAATATTTGGCTATTTTTGTTATTATTGTCCTTTTCAGTATAAACGTAGCACATAAAATTATGAGATGAAGTTAAGTAGTACTTAGAGGAAGATTTAGAAGATGAAATGTTTTTATTAAAGTGATAAGATGTGATCAAAAAAAATATGTTAGCATTACCTACCATATATGGTAAACACAGAGTGTATTTGACACAACTACATAAGAAATAAAAAATTGGAAATAAATGAAATTTTATGAAGTGAAAGTTAAACAAAATTATTCCCATTTATAGACTTTAAAGTATAGATACTTTTTAAAGGGCTGGAAAGGAAAAAGAGATAAATCACCACTAGTAAATATCAGGAATGAAAGGAAATACGTATATCATAACCTAAAGACATTAGTAAGGGAATAACAAAAAGTATCTCTCACAACTCATAACTAATAGCAGTTCTATGAAACCAATTGTTTAAAATTCATACATTACCTTTCTTTCTCAAGGGAACAGATAATTTGTGTAGTCCTCCTGCTAGACAAACTCAGTTTGTAAACACTTAATGATATAGAGAATGCCAGTCATCAATGAGACAGACTTGCATGAGACATTGCCGTGGGCTCTAGGTCTTCAGCAGGAACCATGCAGGATACAGTTATGGGGTCCCAGGCCCAGCTGGATTCTTTGGGTCTCTAATGTGTGGACAGATCTCCTGAACTCCTTCGCATTTCACTTTATGGTGAATATTATAAAATAATCCTATAAATTCTGTGTCCTATGTAATTCTATTCCCTTGGGAACCCTGACTACAACAAATACTTATTCAGTCTATTTGTTAGATTCCACCACTGGATGGCCACCTTCTCACCAACATGCTTTACCGATGTCGGGAAAGTGGCTGTATTGTTGCCCACATCTGATCTGCTATGATTGCTGCAGGCTCTGAGCACCAAGGAACCTACTTCCGGTTTTCACTTGGTCAGTCAGTCACTCCACTAAAACTCTGTATGAGGACACTGAAGAAGAAAACTGAGGAACTGAAGGAGGAAAAGGATCCTGCACATTAGGGCCTCTTTACGTGAACTTCTGCCCTTGGGGTCTCCTCAAATTCCATCCTCTGCACCAATTCCACTGATCCAGTCTAACTGAATATTTAGGCTGGAAATAACATGCACACTCACACACACACACACACACAGATATTCAAAATTATATAATTCAGCATGGTTAAAAGAAATAGTTCCCCAAAAGTAAAATCACATAACATTAATGAATAAAAACATACAAATTACATCTTAAAATGTTATTTGATCTCATGAATGATGTTTTATATATCAAGAAAAATTAGATACAAATAATAAAATGGACCAAATAAATTAAAAAAACAGTTCACAGGGAAGGAAAGTTATCACTTAAATAGAGGGAAGGTTACTGAACTTTAATCATGAATAATAATAAAGTAATAGGACCCTTGATGTAATTCTTTAAAGTCTCAGGCATTCATATGCATTTCTGCATTTCTACATATGAATAGAAATCTGGGTTTGTTTACTGCTGCCTTATTTTATTTACCTTTTGAAGCAACCAATAAATTGCGCCTCAGTATAGATTTTTGCCTTAAAATGGTATGCTATGATGTTCAAGTTGCAAGAGTAAACTAAGTGTTGAAGCATAAAGTTAGTTTTCTTTCTGTTATGTAACCTTATTTTTAATATCGTCAATTACTTTTTTAATCTATACCTCAGATACTTGTAATTATCAATTTAATAACTTCTCCAGCTTTTTCTTATGCTTGCAGCAGCAAACCTGACTTGCTGAGACCCTCTACATCTTAACTAAAATCAAAAGTTTATTTACTTTAAATATTAGCAATTATATCAGCCTTGGGCTTCTATATTTTCACTAGTAAAATTATTTTTTCACAGTGTTAAAGAATGTCACTTAACCTTGATAATATTTAGGGTGGCAATTTTTATTTTTTTTAAGGTGAGTCAATTCATAATTTTTAGTTGGTTCAGGCACAAATGGCAACATGAAAAAAAGTGATAAAATGTGCTAGGTTTGTTTTTTCATTGTAATCACATGGTCATTAAATTTAGCATTAGAAGAAAATATAAAAACAAATGTGTATGTTTTTTAAATTGGTAGATATTTCTACACAGTAATTTACTCTTATGTAATAAAAAAGACTGACTGCAGCCTGTTTGCCTCAGACATGTTTGATCCAAGATGCCTGTGACAGTGCTTGTTCATTTGATCACTTCCTGTGCTTCCTTCTGGTGAAATTTTAAAAACCAGTGTTTTCTACTCTGAGTGGAGAAGCACTTGGCAGCACAGCTCCTGGAGAGAGGGCGCTTCCCGGAGGTGGCCCCTGGCCTGCGCATGAGGGTGCCTCTGTTGGAGCTGCGCCTCGGACAGGCAGCTCCCCACGCGCGGGCGGGCGCTTTGCCATGCTGTAAGCTGCCTCACCGGCCAGCACCGGGTGACCTCGTGTCACATCTGGTGTACGGAGTGGTCGGTCCCGCTCTTCAATCTCTTCCTCCTCTTCCTCTTCCTCTTCTTCGCTCACATTATTTCATACTTAGCAGACATCCTGCACACATATCATAATTGCTATTACATATTCGTCATTTTTATCGTATTTCACATAGAATAGTTGATGTTATGTTTGGTTAGTTTTTTTATATAGAAAGAAAAATGATTTTTCAAATGCATTGGTTCTATATCCAGTAAAATAGTTTATCTTATTTTTACTAATTTTATTATGTAATCTATTTTCTATGCACAGTTATTCACAGCCAATAGAAGATTACTTTCTTTCCATTTCTCATATTTTGTGGAAGTTTTTTACATAGGTAATCTAGGATGACCTATAACATTATAGAGAAAATCAGTAAAAATCTCAGCTATTGCTTTTTAGAACACACTTTTAGATATCAACTTGTGCAGGTTTTCACATATGTTCAAATCACCAATAAATTTTGGAGAAACACTCTAAAACATTAAATATAAGACTGTCTGTATATTAACTTATCAGAAAAACTAGGGTAGATGCAACCCAGACATCAGAAGTGCTGCATAAAGGAAAACTTGAAGAATGAATAAATATAATCTATAGGTGGGCAGCAAAGCAATCCAAAAGTAAGTTTCTCATGAACAGGAGCAGAATTAGTTTACAGAGCAGACAGTAAGTATTAAACATTAGTCATGAATTTTCTTAAGGCTGTCATGACTTCTTTTCTTCAGAGAATAAATCAGAGAGTTAAACACTGGGGTGAGAATCGTGTAGAAGAGAGACAGAAGTTTATCAGTGCTGGAGAACTATTTGCATCTGCGTTGTAAATATGTAATGATTCCAGATCAAAAATAAAGCCACAACTATGAGGTGTGAGGAGCAGGGGGAGAAGGCTTTGACTCGTCCTCTTGCTGATGACAAATTCAGGATGGTGGAGATGATTTTATTGTAGGAGCCAAGAATCAACAGAAAAGGGACCACAACGAACTGCATGACAACAGAAAAGATCAATACCTCATTTAGGAAAGTGTCTGCACAGGCTAGGTTGTGTATTGGTGGGATGTCACAGAAAAAGTGATTGATTTGCTTGGACTCACAAAATGGCAGCAGGAAAATCTGACATGTGTGCGCTATCTTCCCTGGAATTGCACTGACCCAGGAAGCAGCTACCAGCTGGATACAGACCTTGTGGTTCACGATTACAGGATAGGGCAGAAGGTTACAAATAGGCACGTAACGGTATCACTTTGTAATTTAGTATTGCTTGTATTGTTTTTATGCTATTTTCTAAATGGATGTCTGTTTGTTAATATGTTTTTGCTCTTTTATTTTTAAAATAAATTTTAAAAAACAACCTACATTTGCAAACATAAGAGAAAAGCACAACTGCATAGCACAAGCAAACACAGGAATATTTTTTTCATTGTCCAAAGATTTATGAGCATTCAAGAAAGAGTGATAGACACATAGCAGATTTCTAGGACAAAATACATGGGTGTCTGAAGGCCTAGGATGACCTTAGTTATAAGAATAATTATCCCATTTCCTGATAGGATGATCACATAGATTAATAAAAAAAACCACAAAAGCAACTTTGGGAGATTGGAGATCTCAGAACATCCCAAAAGAACAAATTCCCATCTTTGCAGTGAAATTCAATTCTTGAGTCATTTTTTTTAGTTTTTCACATGTAAAAATAGTAAGGTATGTCATTTATATTCTTTGAGATATTATCCAATTTATGGACTAAAGCATTACTTGGACAATTAGCACAGGAAGTTTCTAACCTGTTCTCAAATTGCTCTTTTGTATATGAGAGGAGCAAAAAGCACAGGTGAATTCCAAGAGTTAGGACTATTACATTTTAAAATTATATTTTGTATCTATTGTGAATTTTAATTTGAGTGGCAATGATATGACCTAGAATAATACATTTTTAATTCTTTCTATTACATGGTGAAACCAAATAAGTCTTTTTTATGCGTAGAAGCAGAATTACAATACACAACTTTTTCTTCATATTCTTTCAGTAGCATGCCCAGTGTCAAAATTTTAAGCATAACTTTTGTTAAAGAATGAACGCTACCATGCAACTCTTTGCAAGTACCTTGGTGCTTCCCCTAACTTCAGCGCAGCTGTAGCTCTGCCCTCCCTGCCTACATAACAAGTTGAAACTGCATGTGTTTTGCAATGCTCTATCATAAGACCTTAGTAGCATTGTAATCATGTATTATTACCAAGATCATTTATTTTCCACATTTTTATTATGCAGCAAATATTTAATAATATTTTAGCCTGTCAAATAGTTAATAACAATGATAATATTAAAGTTTTGGACTGTTGATGTGATTCTAGTACTCTGCTTAGTCAATCTATCCTTACGTGTCTTGCTATCTGCCATTGGTTATTCTCATTTTTTTAAAAAAAAAAAGTCTCATTTTTATTAATTTAACTGGGATAAATCATATGCAACTCAACATAAGCAAAGAGAATTTCTTTTGTATTTTTTGAGACAGGGTCTCGCTATGCAGTTCATGCTGGACTTGAGCTCAGTTTGTATCTCAGGCTGGCCTTATGATCACAATAATACTCCTGCCTCAGCCTCCCAAGCACTGGGATTACAAGTATGAACCACCATGCCTCAGACAAGACAATTTATTCTAACACAGGACAACTGGACAGTTTCCAAAAAGATCAAAATCACAGAATATCTTTTTTTAACATAGAGAGTATGTGTTTACTGGTAGTGTAACAATAATAAGACAGATACTCAATAACTTTTTCCTGGGTAATGAGTTAAAATTGATATTTTCTGTGAGCTATTGTTGTATATATCAAATATTTACTGTGATATGTTCTTTCTTATTTTTGAAATTATTTTCTTCAATGTAATGCCCATATCCTACTTTCCCATATGACATCTTATGAATAAAGAATGAAGTATGACACAGTCTATATAATGTTTTACTATCTTGCATATATGTCAGTATTTCAATATAGGGGTTGTATGCTTTACCTAGTTCTATATTTGACTTCTACAACCTATATTTTACATTATTTTATATTTTCTTGACTTAAAAAATATTTTTGTTTTGTTTTGTTTTTTTTCTCCGGTACCAGGAACCGAACTCACGACCTTGCGCTTGCCAGGCAGGGGCTTTGCCGCTGAGCTAAATCCCCAGCCCCTGAGCTAAATCCCCAGCCCCGACTTAAAAAATATTTAAATTTCCAGAATTTACTTTAAAGTGTTCTTGCCCAAGTTAATGAATCAAAAACAATCACTTATCTTTTATTCTCTCTTATATAGTTTATTGTATGGGATTGTTATATTCTATAATTATTACTCGCATTTGCAATTAACAGTCTTTCAAAATTCACTATTATAGGTCCATAGACCCCACTGCATAGGTATGCTGAGTAAGTTTATAAAGTGTAGAAATTACTCCTTGTAACTTTACATAAAATATCACCTCCATCTTTGCTGCATTTGACACTGACTCTTGAAAAAATGCTTCTTAGATTTAAGGCAAGCATTATAAAATGCTAATACAGCATTATTTGTATTCAAACTTGAAGAAAACTGTGAATAATATAATAAAAGGCCTGTCCATATAAAATAAAAAAATTTGAAGTGCTGCTTATGATGCAAAAGGAAGATAGACCATCAATTATGTGTTATAAACTTTCATCATGTGTGATGTTTTGTGAATACTTCTCAAAAAACATGAAGTATATTAAAGACTTTAGACTTCTTTTCTAAAAATTTAATTACTTAACATTAATAGGAAAATATGTTTTGAAGGTCAGATTACTTAATGAAAGTTCCATGCATAAAATATAATTCTTAAAATAAAATCTTATAGGACGTTTGAGTAGCAATATGATTTTTAAAAGAATAAAAATTATATATAGTCTTTGGATGCTAAGAAAAATTTGATCTTGTAATTTATAAATGGATGTTTGTAGACGATAAGCTGTCATATTAATGTTCCACAGAACACTTTCTAAAAGGGATATGACACTTTTCTTTAAAAATACAAATTACAGTATGCTGGATTACAATTCAAGTTTTAATGCAAAGATTAAAAATACAGATTGCTATCACTTCTTTATGATCCTATTTTATACTTCTTTGCTTCTTTTTAAAATTAACCCGGGCATCTGAAAAGAAAGACAAAAGACAACTAGGCAAGGCACACTTCAGTGTTTAAAAATTATTATTGTTATTATCACTCACTCTAGATAAGTATTTTTCTAAGAAAGGATTTTCTCTAAAGTTCTATGACTGAGAAACAAACTACAGGCTTAGCTCCCCTTTAAATAGCATGTAACACAGTATATAATGGGCCACAGAATGTATTGAAATATTGACAAAACTATATTTTATCATTCAGGGTGACGTTGTAAAATAAGTTACAATTACTAGATTGGTAGGTTGTTAGCATTAACAGTCTACCAACTAATGTAAATCAACCAACTAATGTAAATATACCACTGTATAAATTATATCATTTTCATTTCAGTTTGTTTTATTTATTCATTTATTCACTTATTTATTTATTGTCTTTTTGAGACAGGGTCTTGCTATGCACTTCACGGTGGCCTTGAGCTCACTTCGTAGCCCAGGCTGCTCCCGAACTCTTAACAGTCCTCGTGCCTCAGCCTCCTGAGTGTTGGGATTACAGGCCTATGCCAGCACTCCTGGCTTTTGTTTCAGTTTAATCCATCATAGCAAAGTAACGAATAAGTTTACAAGCTGTGTGTATACATTCTGAACTTAAAGCTTCCCATTTTCAATATTTGTCAATTATTGATTCTCAGAGTTTTGCACTATGGTAGAAATCATAGAAAATAGCAACACAAAAATCCTAGCAGCATGAAATAACCCATACTCACTCTTTCGGATTTAGATACAGTTCAATTTTCCCCTCTCAACCAGAACAATTGAAGTGTATATGTAAATAAGATAGATCTTTTCAAAATATTAGCTACTCTTTAAATGAGAACATCTCACTTTTCCTTCTCTCCTGTTGCTTTCACGTATGCCATTTTAATATTGAATCTGGGCTCCTACATAGTGATCATTTCCATTTGTTCTTCCAGATATTCTCTTGCCTACGGTCAAAAGCTGTGCTTTCTGAAATCTTTGTGTAGAAACCCTCCTGTTTAGGTTTCACTGGTAATCTTTCTTTGGATTAAAACTAGATAAGTAAGTTAGGTTTTAAATCATAGGGAAGCAAAATCAATGTGCAGATGCTTTTAACATATAAAAGATGTATAATTTTTCAATGAATGTATTCTAAGAGCTGATCATGCATAGTACTCATTCATTTTTTCCAGGATAAAGTATCCTCCCTGATATACTCTAACCTGGACCACATTCCCAGCCAGCCTGCTGTAGTTCTTAGGCTAAGACTGGCTCTCCAGGTTACCCAAGCTGGCACGAAACATAAAAGCCTCCATCGTCAGCTCCAAGTAGTGAGGATTTAGATCAATTTGTGCCAGCAAACCTACCAGCCACGCACATTCCTCTTTAACAGCTGATATCTTATTTTAAAAATGATAATATTAAAGGTGAAAAGAATAATAAAAAACTATGATATTTAGGGGAAATATAATGATATAATTTACTAGATAAAGAATGGGGCATTGTTCTAGCATCTTCACTGGCTGTAAGACTGCCTTCCCATTGCTTGCAATTTGGTCCTATGTAATTGAAGAAAGAAAAATAATAAGCAATTTAGGATTAACACATATGTAAGACAATTCTTGTTGCGACATTTTTTTTTCCTGCAAGATGATATTTCATTGATTAACTTAACCAGGTAAAAAACCAAACATTTTGCTTTTAAAATATTGCTCAACATAGATGAAACTATAAAGGCAGGGAGAAGAGTTATATATTAGCAGTTTCTAGGCAAAATATAGAATCATTCCAGATGATTGAAATGAAAGAACTTTAACCTGATGCCTGCTTACATGGTGTATTATTTTCCTATAGGTGCCATAGAAAATTATCACAAAGTTGAGGGTTTAAAGGGACATAAAATTAGTCTCTCATGGGTCCATGCCAGGTACAAATTTGGAGTGCTGCAGAGCTCTAAACCGTGATGTCTTGCATTTCAAAATGCTTGGGTGTAACACACTCTTCCATTCTTTCACATTTGCTATTACACAGCAGTATTTTGAGGACTAGTACCCAATCCACTAAATGTGGGTGCTGAGAGCTGTATAATACCAGAACAAGAATGAAAGCTACAGCAGGAGGAACTGAAGTTACTGCAGAACGGTCATAGCTTGGACAACAGAGGAAACAACATATACAGGATGTGAATCCTAAAAGGACATGGATAGAGACAGAGACAGAAATGGCAAAATGCTGTCCACATATTTTTAAAACACTGAGTCGGAGAAACTAAGATAACTGCAGAATAGTGAAATTCGGGGGGACAAGGGTGAGGAGAAGGTGTGGTTTTCTTTCTTTTTTAAAAATTTAAAGAGAAAAAAGAAAAAAGAGAAGTAAAACAACAGTAATACAAAATTTCAAAACAAGATAATAGGAGATTAACAATGGTTAATGTATCGTGTAGTTATCTTCAAATTAGTTGTTCAGATTACAAGATATAGGTCGTAGTTTTTCAAAGTCATGGGCTATGAGACAAGATAGGAAATAGGAAAATGCAGAAATCAAACAAAAGAAAAACACAGATTCCCCTGTTCTCAGTGTCATGGTTAGTTCTGGTAGTCTTCATTGGTTAAATCCAGATAGAGGACCGTAGAATTCCAACAAATGAATGAAAGAGAAAAGGTTAAAGAATACTTATTCCTAGACATGAGCGGTATCACCATCATATGAGACATTCAGTTAACCTTTCATTGCACTGTTTATGCTCTTAGATCAACAGTCAGTTATGGGGAAAATGGTTTATTCCTGAAAATAGATCAATGATCTTTAGAAGTGTTCATTTTTACACTGAATTTGCTCATGTGTTTAAGTAAACTATATAAAACCGAGATCATTTTACATAATGTGATTTCATAATCATATTTTAAATGCTCAATATATAGTTATGTAAGAACAACATGAATATTTTTCCAACTCTAGCTATATAAGAAGCACATCAGCAAATTATTTCTGAGTTTTCATGTCTTTCTTCCGTGTTGATAACTTAGTAGTTTTCTCAGTGCAAACATGATATCGTTGTTCCTCAGCGTGTAGATAATTGGATTCAGAGTTGGGATCAAAATGGTGTAGAAAAGAGAGATGAGTGTCCCCCCACCTTCCGACTGACTTGGTTTGGGTTGTAAATACGTGATAATAGCTGTCCCATAGAATAAAACCACAACTATCAGGTGAGAAGAGCAGGTGGAGAAGGCTTTAGCCCTGCCTCCGACCAAGGGCATTTTCAGAATGTTGGAGATAATTCTGCCATAGGACATGATGATCAACAGACAAGGAGCCATGACAAACACCACCGCAACCACGTAGACTGCGATCTCATTCTCAAAAGTGTCCCCGCAAGCGAGCTTGAGTACTGGGGGGATGTCGCAAAAGAAGTGATGGATTCTGTTAGACCCACAAAAGGGCAAAGAGAAAATCTGGCATGTTTGCCCAATCATGACAGGAATCCCACAGATCCAGGAGGCGGCCACCAGCTGCGCACAGAACTTGTGATTCATGATTAGGGCATAATGCAAAGGGTGACAGATGGCCACGTAGCGGTCATAGGCCATCGCAGTCAGGAGGAGACACTCTGTGCCTCCCAGCGTGAGGACAAAGCACATCTGTGTCGCACAGGCAAGCAAGGAAATAGTTCCTTTTTGGGTGCAAAGATCCATGAGCATTCTTGGGATAGTGGCTGTTACATAACAAATTTCCAAAAAGGAAAAATTGCTAAGGAAAAAATACATAGGGCTCTGAAGAGTAGGCTCAACTTGTGTTATTAGTATTATAATACTATTGCACAGTACAATAGTCAAATATATCAGTAAAAATATTCCAAAGAGGATCCACCGAAGGTCAGGAATATCAGAAAACCCCAAGAGAACAAATTCCATGAATGTAGTCATATTTGATATTTCTCCTCTCATTTGCATTTCATCTGTAGTTAAGATACATTCAGGATGGTTAATATATTTACATTTGCAATTACATGCCCTGTTGTGTTACCATAATTAAATCTATAGACACATGATTCTAATGTTATTTCTAATTTCATTTTGCTGCTTCTATGACACAAAAGGGACTTGTATGCAATTAACTTTAATTCAAGAGATAAAATATAACATTTTATTAAGATTGGCTGTAATGATACCCAAGATTATTGAGATACATACACACTTATCAATAATTAGAGCACACTGTGTGATTTACTATCATCGCCTTCTCTGGCCCTTAATATTAGAGTTAGCTACCAAGTTCTTTCTATTGTGTGCCGGGTTTTATTACTTTTCTCTCTGTGTTAATTGTTTTCCATCTTCTTTAAATTCAGTTCTCTTGAAGCTTCTCTTTCAGTCTTAGTAAAAATGAGTTTGTATACTCCTTTTGCACTCCAGTGGAAGCAATTTTCCTAAATCAGTTTTTCATTACAAAGAACTAAGTGCATTATTATTGCTTTTCTATGGACACCTCTCCCATCCTATATACAAAACACTACACATATTAAGTACAGAATAGTTATAACTTTCTCTATTACCTTCTCCTTCTACATTACTGATAAAAACTAAAGAACTTAAGGAAAGATATGGCTAATTCTTCATGCTATTCTTCTATGTCCTGTCTTCTCCTTTGTTATGTTTCTGTTGCTATAGAATTTTGTTTCAATCAAATGCAACTCTGTCTCTAGATCCCTTGTCCAATGTTGTACTACTTCAGTGCAAGTTTGATTAAATCCAGTGGTAATATACTCTAGCCATTGTAAAGGCCAAAGTACATAAACAGAACTAAAAATCAAAGCATATCTTTGTTCTACTTGTTTCCCTGTTCCCTGACCCTCGACTCTCTTTCACGTTCTCTTAGAGACCATCTCATTAGCAAGATATCTACGTGCTTCTCTGTATCAGTGCTCTGTGTTTGTACTTTGCCTTGCTCATGCAAGAGATACGGTCAATTCATTATATCAGAAAGAACAAAAGTGAGGAAAAGGCTTTATAGAAGGAAGAAAGGAAGTGAGAGAGAAGAAAGAGAAGGAGATTTTTAAAAAAATCAAGCTGTACAATGTATGAAGACCCACTTCCCAGGATGGTCACACAGTGCATGTACACCTTGCATGTACACATGACTCAATCACCTCATACTTTTGAATTGATATAATGATAACTGCATAGTGGTTCTCTTCTATTTCTATAATCAGTTAGTATTAGTTTTCAAGTTTATCTCATGTAAATTATTTCTACTACTAGCATAATTAACAATATTTAACACCTACTTCATTTTATTTAACTCTACAATTAAGAAAGCTAATAAATCCATGACTTGTACAAACTAACTTATTTTCAGATAAAGAACTCAGAGTTTCATGAGTTTTTTTGTTTTAATTTGAAATTATCTTTAAGAAAAACAGTTTCGTGTGTCAACCACAGCTCACCTTCACAAACTTGCATTCAGCAATCTAAGATAGTTTAAATCATTTTTTTTACCTATAAATTTTTAAGCTCTTTTTCCCAGGAAGTCTCCTGAATGCTACGATACTTGTGCTTAGTTTAAGAACACGTCTTGTTCTTACATAGGAATAGTCCCACTTACTCTTAGGACAATCTCCTCTCGTGCACCAGTTGCATTTCTGGAAGCCTGGATGTATTTGGAAATCATTCTGGTTCATTATTGAGAGCTACTTTTTAAACAGGAGCTCCTTCATCTTCCTCTCTTTGGTGTAAAGCTCCCCTACCACAGGGGGAATTAGCTCATAGTGAAAGAGCACTTGTCTGCCTTTGAGGAAAAATTTAAAATGCCTGGCTGTTGCATGCAAGGCCTTTAATAAGTGATAGGCAGTTGGCTAGTTTAGTCTTATTCCCACAGTTCTTCCAGATCTGGGTCACTAGAAAGTGTCCTGTGTGTTTTATAACAAAAACATGCAATGCTTGGTGTCATCAGTATTTGAGGTGGTGAAAGCCCTTTTCAGAATTGGACCTAAGTTAATATATGGAAATATAGGCATGTCACACTTCCTAAAATATCTAGGTTTTCTTGTATTTGTATTGTGTTATCTGTTCAAGGTTTAGAGAAGGCGTCTCTCTGATTGAGACTACAAGCCTCCTTGAAAACACAAAATTTAAGCAAAGACAGAATGCAAAGGTGAATCTTTCCTCTAATCACCCAGTGCCTAGAAAACTATTCCTGGTTCTGTATGCAGATAAGAATCTCAAGCGGAAGTCTGTGAAAAAACCATCTTCATCTACCTACACTTTTGTTCTGCAGGGTTGTGTTTTACATTCATTTATTCATTAACACCACAATCCAGTGTTTATGTTTCAGGGTACTATTTATTTTTGCAGAACATTTTGAAATGTGAAAAATGCTATGCATATGTACCTTTTTATTGTATTTTTATTGATTCACATTCTGTTTTTAACTTTCCTTCTGTCTTCCTTTTCTTCCATTTGAAAAACCTCCCTTTTGTATTTCTCAATTGTAAGTCTTTTCTTGATTTATTTTTCCCTTTAATTGGTACAAATGCTTTTCATTATAAAATACCATTTTCTCTCTTGCAGTGTAATTTCACTAGATAGATAATTGTATCTCGACAGATTTTTATTTGTTTTCTCTTTCACCCTCTAAAGATGTAGCTCCATTATCTCTTTAAGTAAATCTTAATGAGAAAACACTAACCAAGTTTTTATTACTTTAACATGAGTTAATATGAAAAAGTAAAAGAATTTTAAAATTTTGCTGTAATAAATATTCTTCTATGACACTGTAAGTAATTAATATAGAAAATTTACTATAAATTCCCACTCTTTGTACCTTACGTAATGAAGTACAATTACAAACACACTTTCATATATATGAGGTGATAATCAATAGGTACAATTGTTCACATGTCTTAAACACATCTTAAAATCATCTTTGAGTTATCTTTTTCTTTATCATCATAGTTTTTAGAATAGTTTTTATATGAAACAGCTATCTACATAGATGTATAACTTTCAAGTTTAGAGATTGCCTTACTATAATTGATGGGATTAAGTAAATTCAGCAAAAATATTTTCCTCATACTAGATTCAAGATGATAACACACATTATATTTGTGAAGATTCATTATGTTGAATTTAATATTCAAAATTATCTAGAATTATTTCATAGATAAATCAGGTGCATAAATATCTAGTTTTCTTTCTTGTCACATATTTATATTTTTAGGATATTATATTTTATTAACTGTAAGTATTTATACCAAGACTAACTCTATTCTGTAGTCTGAACTTTTTCATATTCAAGTGTGTCTATATGTTCGGTGTGTTCCTATGTGGGGCTCTCTGTTAATTGCCACTGTCCCTTTTCTATTATAGAATTTATTTAAATTGTTTGTATTTCTGCAACACTTAGTAAGTTGCACTGCTATGGTGAATGGGCCTCCCACTGTACTGTCTTGTGAAGAACGTCTTGGCTTCTATGACTTTACAACAATTAGACTCATTTTTTTTCCTGAGCAATTGAATTACAGCACTAAGTCACATACATATACACTGACAAAATGAAGATTATTCTATTTCTTTGATTTTATTATGGTAAATTTACATATTAAAAAGTTTTAGATTTCTCATATATGAAAATGTAGACAAATTTTTCTGATATATGAAAAGGTAGACAAATTCATTTTTTCTCACATCTTGCTCCAATGTTTTATAATTTATCGGATAGGGTGCCTGGATGATTCTTAAGTATCTGATAATTTTCATCTGACTCAACATGGAATTTATTATAAACACTTCAAATTAATATCTGGATAATGGCAAACATTATTTTCTTGAATTCAATATAGGTCATAGGTTGTAAGATGCTTAGTAATGAAAAACATTTGCATTAGTTTTCTATAACTATGATGGAAAAATCAATTAAAAAATCAACAAGGATATTGTATTTTTATTGGATGACATCTTCAGAGGGTTCAGTTTAAGTTTCGCTGGCTCTACTGCTGAGAGCCTGGAGTGGGACATCATGGTGGGGGTGGTGGAGCCAGAGCAGGAGAGAAAGAGGGAGGGAGAGAGAGGGAGAGGGAGGGATGAGACTGACTTCCTTCAACCAGGCCTAAGCATGTATACATACATGAAAGACTAACATTTTAACAAATGATTGCAGTTTCTGACTTTATATCTTTTGTCAGTTCTTAGTTGTGAACATGTTTTATCTATAGTCTCAGAATATATCTTGTCTCCAGTTATTTAGTCCTATTTTCTTAGAACTTCTACATCAATTTTCACTAGAAACATTCCAAACAATTCATTCAATATTTGTTTTTGTGTGCCATTTTTCATCTTTGTCTGCCTTTGGCATTCCTTTTGGGTATAACTGTAGAAAAGGATTCCAAGAAAACACAAAGACTTAAAGCTTCCTCTCTATATGCACCTTCTCCTAGTTATTCAAGTGCATATTTAGCTAAGCCAAGTTAGAAATCCTCTTGCCCAATAAAGGAAGAATTTCTAAGGAAAAACTACATAGACCTCTAAAGAGTAGAATCTCCTTTTGTTATTAGCATTGTAATGCTACTGTACATCAAAGTAGTTGAATATATAAATAAAAATGGACTCCAAAGAATCCATTACATGTGGGCAGTATTAGAAAATCCCAAAAGAACAAATTCCATGAGTGTAATGGCATCAGATTTTTCAGTTGTATTTTTTTTTCCATCTACAGACATGGTAGATTCAACATGGTTCATCACATTTGGAACTACACTGCACTCTTCTGATGCCTGAATTACACCCTTAAGTGTATCTACACAGGCCTTCAAAGTATTTTCTCATTACCTCATTAGGTTGCTACCAGATAGAGATTAAAAATTGAGATATGAAGTGATAAACAATTGAAATACACTCAAGAAATAAAGTCTAATATATTTTATTGCACCTGTCTCTAAATATACAAGCATATCCTGTTTTTGAAACTTTCATTGTTATTTTTTGTCTTTTTTCTCTTAAAAAAAAACAAACAAAAAAATAAAGAAATAGTGTATGTTATTGTTTAGAGAATATTGTGGAGAAATAATATTTAGTACTTCATCCTTGAGTGCAATTATGTTAGAGGTTTTGTCCTAATACTTCCCCTGACTTTTTATTTTATTGATAGTAATATTCTGTGTGCTTTTAATCCAAAGGTATTTCCCATTATCCCTTGGGATAATTCTTCCATAATTCAGATTCAAAATGGGTTTTAAATCTTCATTTTTACATTATAGTGAGAGTCTACCTTTTTAAATTAATTATTTGTTCATGAGGAAATAAAATACAATATTATTACTTTACTAAATCTATCTCTTCCATCACTGATAAAAAATAAGAAAAATGTTAATACTGTCATTCTGTACATTTACATTCTCTTATAAGATATGCTATCATATATACTAAAATATTACTTAAATTTTGTGCTATATCAGATCCAGGTCACTTAGACCTTAAAAAATGTGCTCGTGGTCTGCCATTGTGCATGTTGTAGATGAGGTGGTGAGAACCCTTTTCCAAACAAGACTATTTTTTTATTTAATTAAATTCTGTGGAAATTATACCATTTCATATTTGCTGAAAAAAAATCTAGTTTTTCAAAATTCATATTATCTTATCTACTGTGGCCTCAGAGAAAGCATGTCTCTGACTGAAAATACACAAGCCACTTCAAAAATAAATTTTACATAACATGAAACTGTCTTCAAAACATTTTCCCATTTCAGTAATTCCAGGCACATATGGAAATAACAGCTCTGTGAGACTGAGGCCAGCAGGATTTCAAGGTCAAGCCCAACTTGGGCAACCTAGAAAGACACTGTTTTGAAGTAACGAATAAAATAGGGGAGGGCATGTAACTCAATATGAGGGCCATAGGGTCAATGCCACCCCAAAAAGCAATCTCAAGCATTGTAATGATCCTACGGTCCACATCTACCCTGTAATAATTTGCTAAATGCTTCTCAAGCTCTGCTTTCAATATTGAGTATTCCAATGTATGCAATATCATTGCAGTTGCTTCCTTTAAAATTTCTCTCACATTGTTTCACAAGTTACTAAGCAGACACATAGTATTTATGAAGTTGTATTTGATTTGTTTCTTTTGTATGGAAAGAAAAGTTATTTTTCTAGTTCACTGGGTTTACATTCAGCAAAAATACAATTATTTACCCTAATAATTGTAATGTATGCTCTTTTTTCTATATATATTGTCAGGCCCAGAACATAATTGGATTATTTTGTTTACAATTCTCATACTTTTCTTGTAGTTTTTACATATACAAGCCAGCATCTCCAGTAATATGCTAAATAAAATTGGTGAGGGAGAAGATACTCTCTTGCTGGCATGAAGAGAAAGACATAATTCAACATTTGTTCTTAACTGTAATATGTGCCAGCTCATATTACAAATCATTGCTTCTATTGACACTAATATGCACCTCACATGAGGGAACATAGGAACCCTTCCTCTTCTGTTTATTTCCTATCTCTGTCATCTTTTTCTAATAATACAAGGGATGATCATACTTTACAATACAACTTTAAATAAAGATATTTCAGTTAAAGGCACCTTGCATCAATCCTCCTCAAATACACCTGCTTTGTAGAAGGCAGCCTGCAAGTTTGTACCTGACCAAGGGGCAACGAAGATGAAAAATAAAGAGACACAGAATCATGTTAAAACGTGGAGGGCTAGGGGCTTCTTGTCTACTTTCGACAGGGAGCCCCCAGTGACTGGCGCACCTTGCTTTATTCGCTGAGACATGGACACACACAGAGTTGCACAAGATTCATCAGTCTGCACCATCCATGGTACTAGTCCGAGTAAATGAGAGGATGTCAGCCGTCCTGCAGGGTGTCACACTGGCATGCTACCTTTCTCCTTAGTACTCACAGAGGAGGACAATTAGGTCTCAACCTTCCTATCTGGTCTCCCAAGACCCTTGCTTGGAACACACTTACACCATTTTTCTTGGCACTTTTGAAGTGGTTCTGAAAGCCCTTGTTCATGATGTCTCAAAAGATTGGCTGAGTGCTGCCACCGGAGTGCCATCCAGAGGAGAGTCAGGCTCCTCAAACATCCCACGCTGTCTTCACCTACCTTTCCCACTGCGTCTGGGGTCATGCGACTTCACGCTCTTGTAAAAGTCAAAGTGACTATAAAAGTCAATGTTTTCAATCAATTCAGGACATCAAAGCATGTATGGTATCACAACAGAATGACCTCAAAAAATGGCCAGAATAATGGGATAAATGCGCTGCATATAACTAAGCATTTCACATGGGATTAACAACTTTGGGCCTTTACGGTAATATTTTTATTTAGACTTTCACAGTATGTTTCATTTGCACCTCATAAATGTCTGCTTCTAGGTGTGTGGTGGGTTAACTAATAGTCAACTTATAACACCCAGCTGAGTTGCATCAACATGGTGCTGGGTGTGGAGGGCCCCCCTGAGGATTGTTGCCAACAGTATAACAGGAGAACTGGAGGGGATGATGGTACTGTTGATTCTCCTGAAGAAGCTCATCATGCTGATTTTCTCAATGTGAACTCAGCTGTTCTCATAGTTGGAAGAGCTTGGGTCCTCACTGTCACTAAGGATGGCTGCGGTTCTCTTCACGGGAGCTCTGGTCCTTACCTTGAGCATCCTTCCCGGCTCCAGCGCAGATCCCCCAGCCTGCTGGCACAGATCCTTTACCCCACTGGTGCAGACTTTCTGGCTTCCACCACTGACCTTTGGGCCTTCCTGGCGCAGATCCTTGATACAGACTTGCATGAGACATTGTCGGGGGCTCTAGGCCTCCAGCTGGACTGATGCAAGACACTGCCGTGGGATCCAGGCCCTCAGCCAGATTCTTCAGGTCTCTCGTATGGACAGATCTCTTGCACTCTTCTAAGTTTGACTATTTGGGTGAACATTATAAAATAATCCTATAAGTTATGTGCCTTATATTAAACCTATTCCCTTATAAACCGTGACCATGACAAGGTGTAAGATATAATAGGGACATAAAAGATGTGCAATGCAGTGTTCCCCGTGCAGGGAAGATAATTCTTTAACTTTTGATGGGGCTAACTAAACAAAATAGCACCAGGATATTATGAATACAGTCTTAGTCTCATTATGTTCATTTTGATCAATCAAATTGATTCCATGATTTTATATTAAACAATCTTGCTAATTCCTGTAATTGCGTTTATGAAGTCTCCGTATGAGCATGGCTGTCTCCTGACAGTGCAGCATTTGTGACTCCCTGAGCAGTGTTGATTACATCATTTAAAATTTCAGACCAGGGAAGACCTTCCTGACCGACACTGGACCGTGGAAACTCCTCTCTGGGCACACGGTCAGTGTCAGGTGGAAAGAAGAATCACAGTGCTGATTCCTACCTGGGGTCTCCACCTAAATATTCTTTTGATGAATAATGACATGATGCTGTAAGTGGCTAGCTTTGCACTGTTTGTCATGAAGCAATACGGAGCAGGACAATGTGCCTCACAAACATTACAAAGCCAACACTTCGCCTTTCTTCCATTATGCTAACACACGTGTACTGTACTACAGCTGAAAGTTTCATGTTACTCCTCTGAATATTTTCTTCTTGGCAATGACTGACTCATCATATTCACATTTTTAAGACCATTTTATTAGTGGCATAATACTGATTAGAGAACTACCAGAATGATACATCACATCTGTGTATAAAACAAATAGTTTAAATCAGTGTTGTGCTGAAAGAGAGACACTTTAAAACAAAACAGATTTTCAAAGCTGATAAATAACCCCCAAAATCAGATTGTTCCTTTCATAGCCCAGATGACTGACATATAATACAAATAGGATGGCAGTGTTTGAATGGAAAAAATGCACATAAATAAAAGACATTTATTCCTTCTGGATAGTCTTTTGTTTCTTCAGACACTAAATCCCCCTCTTTTTTTTTTTTTTGTTTTGAGACAGGTTCTTACTATGCCGTTCAGGCTGGCCTTGAGCTCACTTTGTAGCTGAAGGTGGTCTCAAACTCGCAGTGATCCTCCTGCATCAGCCTCCCAAGTGCTGAGATTACAGGCCTGCATTACCATGCATGGCCAAAATCCCTATTGTTAAATAGTTAAAATGCCTGAGAGTATAAGCAATATTTCATGCAATATTATCCAAGTTTTTACCATATCTAGTACTGTTGACTGCCCTGATAACTTTAGGTAAACAATAGCTGTTTAATGCGGAAAATAACAAACATACACTTCAGTTTTTAGAGAAAAATGTATATGTCACCAACTTGAAGGTAAGAGATTATACAGTTTTCACACACTCTCAAGTCACCAATTAATTTGAGAGCAGTAGACTAGACCAAAAAATATGAAATTTGTTGATAGCAAATCCTTTCCTTAGCAAAAATACGGTAAATACAACCCTAGCATGAGAAGTGCAGCATAAGAGACTAAGCTCAGAAATGAGTAAAAGTTATCATTAGTAGGGCAGGAAAGCTTCCGTTATACAATTGCAAGGTTAAATAAGAAACCAGAAAGCAATTTTAAATCCTCAGCAAATGCATAAATATTAGCGAAGAGTTTCCTCGAGGCCATTGTGACATCTTTATTCCTCAGAGTACAGATCAGAGGGTTAAGCACTGGGGTGAGAATAGTGTAGAAAAGACACAGAAGTTTATCAGTGTTGGTGACCTGTTTGAGTTTGGGTTGTAAGCATTAATGATTCGAGATCCAAAGAAGAAAACTACATCTACGAGATGCGAGGAATAGCTGGAGAAGTTCTTGACTGGTACCGTTGCTGACAGCAACTTCAGGATGGTGGAAATGATTTTTTTTTTGGTACTGGGACTCGAACTCAGGACCTTGCATTAACCAGGCAGGTGCTTGTGCCACTGAGCTATATCCTCCACCCTGGTGGAGATGATTTTAATACAGGAGCTGAGAATTACCAGAAAAGGAACTGTGATGAACCCCATTGCAACTGTAAAGACCATCATCTCATTTATGAAAGTTCCTCCACTGGATAGCTTGAGTATTGGTGGGATGTCACAGAACTGACTGATTTGGTTAGATCCAAAAAATGGTAGAGGGAAAATCAGAAATGTCTGTCCTACACGGGCTGCAATTCCAGTGAGCCAGGATGTGGCCACCAGCTTCATACAGACCTTGTGCCTCATGATTAGGAGATAGTGCAGAGGGTTACGGATGGCCACGTAGCGGTCATAGCCCACCACTGACAGGAGGAGGCACTTGGTCCCTCCAAGCACAAAAAAGAAGCACATTTGAGTAGCACAGGCAATCAAAGAAATACTTCCTTTCAGTATCCATAGGTCTGCAAACATCTTAGGGAGTGTGTCAGACATATAGTAGATTTCTAAGAAAACTTTCTGAGAAAAAAAAAATAGTTTGGAGGACTGGATCAACTCATGAGAATGATGATCCTATTTCCTAAAAAGATGATCACATAGATAACGAGAAATATCACAAAAAAGAAATTTTTGGAGACAGAATATCATAAAACTCCAAAAGAACAAAATCCATCCTTGAAGTGGAATTTATTTCTTGCAGCAGTTTTTAGTTTTCTGTCTGTGAAAATATAAAGATATGTCACTTTTATCCTTTGACTTCTTATCAAATTCTACAGACTCAAGGATTCTTGAAAAATTAGAATATAGGTTTCCTAATCTACATTCAAATTCCAGCTTTTGTTTTATAGGATTCAAAAGGCACAACTGGAGCGTGCTGAGAAATGCTGAGAAATGCCTAAATTCTAAAAGTGTAACATATTCATATCTACTGCAAGTTTAACTTGAGTGATAATGATATAACTTACAATTACACAAGTTCTTTTTTATCATTGCACATGGAACCAAACTGTTCTTTTCTTTTACTTGTAGTAATAGAGGCAGAATCATTGATATCATATTCTCCCAGCAGTATGTCCATCTTCAAACATTTAAGTGTCATTTTGGTAGTAATAAACTTTCCTAAGGCCTTTTACAAGTGCATTTTACAAATAATATTCCCATCATGCTGCTATAGCTCTACCATTCCCACATGTACATTACCCTGAAACTGCATTTCCCTTTCATTTATAGATCAGACAAGCACAAGCAATATTGTGATCATGCATTCCCGTTGCAACACCTTTATTGACCAAATTTCATTAAGCAGCAGGAGGTCAGGCCTCAAGATAAATTCTGAGTGACCAGGCCTATGTGCCTTTCTGAGGGATAAGCCATAAGTTAAAGCTTATGTGACAACTGATATCACCTGGTCCAATAAAGTGCAGACATCAGTCACTCAGGTGGGTGATCAGGACCTTCTGATCCATCCCTTCCCAAACAGCTCTTCGTTCTTTCCATATACATATGCTGTGTGACCTGATTCCCAGGTACATCAATATTATGTAGGTGGCTAAATCTTTCCTCTTAACTTCCACTGTTCCTTCAACTTTAGAAAACACTCCTGCATCTGTCACTCCCTGCATCTGACATCTAGCAGGTTGAGAGTTACATTCATTTCCCCAATATTGTCTATTTATACTGTCTAAAAATTAGGTGATATGGAAGGAAATGTTTTAAGTTGGGCTTGAAATACAACCAAGATTTGGGAAATCATTTCAGGAGATTATTGACATATCCAGTCTAACATCAGCTGAGAACATAATGGCTTACCAGGAAGTCTTCGTACATCTCCAGTGTCCACTCTAAGGGACTGCTGTCCTATACAAGGCCCTGCTGTCTCTCTCTGTTGCCAGATGGAAGTGGTTATTTGTAAAGTTTATCCGTGGTTCTTTTATAAAGCCTGGGTGAATTCACTGTGACCTGTTAACATTTCTGCATTCTGTAGAATAATTTTGATCTGCAGTAATGTTTGACTTTTTTCACTCCTTTCGTTTTACCTGAAATGCATTTTAAATGGAAATCCTGTAGTGAGACCTGCAATATTAAATTTAGAATAATCTTCTCAAATTAGGAAACTTAGCAGTGTTACCCTTAAAAAAGGAGCTACAGTGTGCTACAGCTCAGCTACAGAGAGGCAAATCAAGTGTTTTCCCTTTAAGAAGTCCCCAGGCCCAAGAAGTTGAGGTCTCTTACTCTAAGAGTTTTCTGAAGTAATTTGTTTGTTGATCACTTTAATAGAAGTGTAAGATGTTGAGGACTTAAGAGTGTAAGATTTTAAGCTACTCTGTGTAACTTAAAACAGGCATTTTGGGGGCGATTGAAGATATCAATTAATATTTGTGTTAAATTACTATGCCAAGTGGTACATTAGTGTTTTGGAAAAGTGAAGAATAAAATATTTTCTTTGAAATATTAAATATGTCTTGTTTTAATATGAAAACATAAAAGCATTTCAATTTGAATACTATATCTAAGAAAAAATGTGTAAAAGTCAAACATTTATTATTATACATAGTTATTAGGCAGTTTCCAAAAAGACCAAAAGCAAAGCATATATATCTTAGGAAAATAATAGCTGAGAATATTTAATAGTGCATAATTAACAAGACAGACACTCGATAAACTTCTGTCTCAGTATTGAGATGTGAGGTTTTGTCAGTTATTGCTATGTACATCAAGAATTTACTGTAATACTTTTCCCCATATTTCTGAAATTACTTTCCTAAATTAAAGTGTTCTTAATGTCCCACATGTTATTTTGGGGGTGAAAAAGGAAGTGTTGAAATGCTTACATAATTTTTTGTATCTCACATATATCCTGAGATTTCAACTCAGGGGTCATATTCATTGCCTACTCCTGGATTTTAATTATAATCCCACTGTCTTTTATTTGCTGCAGTAGACAATCATTTAAATTCCCAGCTTTTACTGTAAAGTATTTTTGTGCAAGTCAATGAGTTCTAAAGAGCTCACTTATCAATTCCCTTCCGCTTAGCTCATTACGTAGGGCTGATAAGTTCTCTAATGACCATGACCGTCTGAGTGAGTGGCCTCCAAGACTGTGCCCCAGCAGTTAACTGTCACTGCTTAGATGTAGAGAGTAAGTTCATAAAAGTGCTGAAACTGCTGCTTTCATCTTTACGTTAAGTATCTGTTCATATTAACTATATTGGACAGTGACTCTTGAAAGTACACTTTTAGGATTGACAAGTATTGTAAGAGATGCTTTCACCTACGATAAGCACTGTCTATATTCAACCATGATAAAAATAAACTATGTCCAGGTATAATTTACTGATACACCAGCCATCCAACAACAGACACCCAAGCCCTCCTCCAAAAGGGCTCCAAATTTTGTGATGGTTGACAGAACCCTCACATCACCGTGGATCAATGGTCACCCTCTGTGACAAGGACCCCATCATCGCAAGAGTGCACCTGCTACTCAATATCAGGAATGGCTCCTACCAGATACAAAAATGTTCCTTCTTTGTTGGGAAAATAAAGCAGGACACCACCCAGGTTAAGCACCAGGGACAGGTACCCCCTTTGACCAGGACCACGTTAGCCATAACCATCAGGGTCTGGCATGGAAAAGGCAAACACTTTAACCTTCCTTTCCAGACACATATTCGTTTTGGCCTGAATGGCCCAGGTGTATTTTGGCTCTATGGCATTTCTACCTACATCTGCCTCCCTGCTAACTGGACCAGGACCTGTACCCTGGTTTATCTCTGAGGGATATTTTCCAGTCCCTATGCTAACATTAGCCTTACATGGGGGGGCCCTGTCCTCATCCCCTTGCTAGTGGGGTTAGGCATAACCACAGTGACAGGGACAGGGACTGTAGGACACAACACTGCCATACAAATCTCTGTCCCAAGAACTCACTCCAAGCTTAACTGATATTTCCAACTCCCTTCTCATATTACAAAGTGGGTCAGACTTCCTAGCAGCTATAGTTCTCCAGAACCGAGGAGGGTTAGACATTCTGACAGCAGTCAAGTGGGGGCCTATGCCTATTCCTAGGAGAAGAGTGCTGCTTCTACACAAACTAGTCTGAAATAGTCCAGAGAGCTATAGAGAGCCTACAAAAGCCAGCCACTAGATTAAAAGAACAGGCAAACTCTAACTGGCCGTTCTCCTGGATGAGCTGGAAGCCGTGCCTTCTTCCCTTGGTTGCCTATTGGTCAGCATCCTCCTCATCATACTCTCTGTGTCCTATGTGTTTAAATCACTGATCAGATCCCTTCAGAACCAAGTTCAGGCCCTCACGAAACCATCTGCATCAGCTGCTGCTGTCTACTAAGCCCATATATCAGGCCCTAGAAATAACTGGTGCCCTATGATAAGATACAATTTGGGCATCAAAGGGGAAAATGTAGAAGAGCTTTTGTTTTCAAAATGTTCCAAAACTCAAATAGGTCAATAGTCTGGAATGTTCCTTCTGCTTTTGTAAACAGGCTTGCTAACCCAAGATGTACCAGAGGCGCAAGCTGTACTCAGTCTGTTTTGTTTGCAGTTGGTTCCCATATTCGCAAAGTTCCCCTGGCTCACAGAGACTCCTGCTCTTCCTGATAAACAGTATATAAACGTAACTTCCTATGCTAGCTCAGTGCTCAGACTTTGGAGTATGCAGCTCCTCTAAGCCCATCACATAATAAAGCTTGGTTCCCTCCACTTCTCCAAGTACCTTGCTGCTCAGTTTCCTCACCTCTGGTAAACCTAAAATTGCCATAGCAATACTAAGGAAAGTTTCCATTGCTAGAGAAGATAAGGCCTAATGCTTAATTACTATTCATGTTTGCTATTGCTCCTTTAGCCAAAGCCAGTGATTCAGCTCATTAAGAGTCAGTGCTGAAAGGGAAAATAAAGATATGAGTACAAGAAGAAATGGTTTATTTGGGCTGTTACTATGTATATACAACATAATTTTTATTGACTGTGTAGTGGAATAAGTGTCTTCCATTTATATACCATATTTAGTAAAATATTTCTCAATATGAGCATTCATTTTTTTCCATTTTTTGTTTAGAAAAATGGAACTGCAATGCACTCTTTGGCAATGCACAATATTTTGCAACACACATATGTATTATACACTTATATATATTATAAGGCTACAAGAGTATTCTTCTGCATTCATACATTTGTTTGAAGAAAGTAATTAATAATGATTGTAAAATCTCATGTGTGAGATCTTTTTAATAGGGAACATTATTGTAAAAAGTATCTGATATCGGGATCCACTAAGAATATACCATCCATCACATCATCTCCTGAGGTTACAAACCTTTACCAGTTTATAGCAAACGGAAGGAATGGCTTTGAGTATAACATTGTTAATTAATTAACACAATTCTCATAACTCTGAGGACACAGCATTCACTACATTTAAATTACACCATGAGCATATTTACACATGAATACAAGATCATACAAGTTTATAATTGTGTATACAAATTAAACATAAAACAATATTGTCACATGCATTGTCTCAGAATTTGAACAATCTGGGAAGGAACTTTCTCAGTGCTCCTGTAACGTCTTTGTTCCGAAGGCTGTATATCATGGGATTGAACATTGGGGTCAAAACAGTGTAGACGAGAGAAAGCAGTTTGTCTGTGCCTTCGTACTGATAGGAATTTGGATGGAAATAGGTGATACCGGCAGATCCATAGAATAAAAACACAACCGTAAGGTGGGAGGAACAAGTGGAGAAGGCTTTGACCCTGCCAGTGTTTGATGGTAACTTTAGGATGGTTGAGATGATTCTACTGTAGGAAGCGAGGATCAGCATAAAGGGCACGATGACAATCAAGACAGCCAATATATAGACCATCATCTCATTCACAACGATGATGCCGCAGGCCAACTTGAGCAGCGGAGGGATGTCACAGAAGAAGTGGTTGATGTGTTTAGATCCACAGAAGGGCAGAGTGAAAATCTGCACTGTCTGCCCCACCTGGACTGGAAGGCCAACGATCCAGGAGCCAGTGACCAGCTGGATACAGACCTTGTGGTTCATGATCAGCGGATACTGCAGAGGACTACAAATGGCCACGTAGCGGTCATAGGCCATCCCCGCCAGAAGGAAACACTCGGCAGCTCCCAGCACGAGGAAGAAGCCCATTTGTGTGGCACAGGCAAAAAAAGAAATAGTTCCTTTCTGGGTCCAAAGATCCATAAGCATTCTAGGGAGAGTGACAGACACATAGCAAATTTCTAGGAAAGAAAAATTACTGAGGAAAAAATACATGGGGGTATGTAAGGTGGGCTCCAGTCTCGTGATTAGGATGATAACTCCATTCCCCAGTAGGATAATCAAATAGATGAGTAAGAATATTCCAAAGAGCAACCAGTGCAACTTGGGACTATCAGAAAAGCCCAAGAGAACAAATTCCACCACTGCAGTAGCATTGTTTTCAGTGATTTTCAATTTGTTTTCTCTCTGCATTGTTTTCCTCTGAAAAGTGGGTTAGGACACAAGCTTCAACCTTTAGAAATTTTTTTTAGTTTGTTATTAAATCTTACATTCTGTGAATCAGGGAGAATTGATGTGAGACAATCAATATTACAATTATCTGATTAAAAATAAAATCACTTTGATGAATAAAATATTTTGAAAATGAAGTTATGTTAAATATACATTCTATTCCTATCCATAAATTCATAGTTATGTATCGTATTCAGACTTGCAGTATCAAAAACAGATGATGCACATAAATTTTGTCCATCAGGGAAATCATAAATTCTTTCCCTAGCTTCCTCTCTCCCCTTTTCTTTCTCTGTAGAAGTTGTGCAACGTCCTTACTAAGCTTCTTTCTCTTTCTGAAAGTTATTTACGCTTTAAGTCTCAAATGTTTTGTGTTTTACAGGCAAACATTTTTTTCTTTTCATTTACAGGTATAATTTCAGTGTCTCACATCATATTCTTCAAAAATGACTGAAGTTTTCCATTCATCTGTGGTCGATGTACTAAGGTTCTGCATCCTGCTCCCATATTATGGGACTGTTGGGTCTCCCATAGCATGAGTTGGTCACTGGGTCCAGCCTCTCTGTGCCAGGACTTTTCCTGTTGCCATCTCTTCCATGGTGATAAATATGTCTGCTTATGATTAATGTGTAAGTTTAAGACACAAATTGGCCCTCACACCTGCTATAAAAGTATTCACATTTCTTTTTTGCTTTCACATTGTATTATATGATTCATTTTACAAAGAATATAGGCAGGTCTCTGTCCGCCTATGTTACTCTACATGTGGTTTTAAATTAAAAGTAGAAACTGCCATTAGAATTGGTTGTTTTCTGGAGCACAGTAAAAATGAAAACAGAAGTTTGAATTTCCAATGTTAAAGAAACAATACAAATGGAAAGAAAAGCTTTAATTTCCAATGTCAAAGAGTTCACTACACCCTGAGCAACTTAGAAAGAACCTATGTCAAAATGTGAATAGAAACATAAAGTGTTGAGCATGTAGCTCAGGGTTAGGAAGCCTGCCTAGCATGCACAAGTCTCTATGTTTAAAGAAAAAATTAAAACAAATGTTTGCATTAATTTCATGTGTTGTATTGAGATAGATCTTATTGATAAAATCTACAAACATTTCACATTGTACTCTTTTGGATTTTCATAATATTTTGACATTTTTTCTTTTTAAAATCTAACAGAAATATTCACATGAAAAGTGAAAGACATATTGGGTAAAACTTTTGCGACGTTTATGATGTTATTGATTTGGGTCACATAAAAAAATGAACTAACTAAGCTAATCTAAGTGCTGTCTATATATTACACGAGGTGAAAATTTGAAAAAAATATTCCTCCACATTTTTCCTCTAAAAAGTCTTATCAATTTTAACACTTCCTTTTACAGGAAAGATTTCATTTATACCAGCAACATTTCCTATATTGACAAAGGAAAATATATTAAATTAAAATGTAACATTTTTACTCATTATTGCATTTTCAAAATAGAAATGTTTAATCTGATTAAAATTATCAGCAATATACAAGTTCAAAATTTATATATTTTAGATACTGGGAACATACTAGCTTAACTTTTCAACTCAGAATTTGAGAAAACTACACAGATAATCACATATTAAATGCATTTTAAGACCAATATACATATATATTTATCATTTCAGATGTTCGATATAATTTTGAATCATTATTCTCAAAATAATAATCCTAAGAGGTACAATACCAACACACAGTATTAGCAGTTCACCATTTTCCTTTTGCTAATGCTGCATCCTTCTCCTGAAGTTTTGTATTTCTAAATATTTAAATAGATTAACACCTATGACAACTTTAATCAAGGACTCTGCTTGCTTTTGAGACAACCAGCATTCTTTATAGAGCAAACATAACTCTTTCCAGCGGGGATGTCTTCTCCCTTGTCACTTCTTAATTGCAATCTAACTGCACGGTTTGCAATTAATTTGGTGTGTTTTTCCAAACAATTTGTAGCACACCGGCTACACCTTCCTGAAGTTTCTCCCTGGAAAATAATGTCATGCATTTTCATCTTCTGAATACTATCCCAGAACATGAATCGCCTTGAAAAACAAATCTCAATTAGTCTTTCTTTAGTTTCTTGTCTTATTTCCTATCATTGTCTTGATTTTAACTTGCAAATTGTGATTCTTGGTAACATTAGAAATATGCTTGCCCATTTTCTTACATTTCCTTTAATTTTCCACAGTTTTCTCAATTGCTTCACAGCAGGAGACATTTGTGTTTCTGGCAGGAGTGTGAGGAAAACCAATTATGTTTATTTCAAAAGAGCAGATATAGTTCCAACTCCTTGTGAGGCCCTGATCTTTTTTGTTTAACAATTTTAAAATAACGTCTTTCAGGAGTATAATTTCTAGTAATTCAAATTGAAGTTCATTGAATTTTTCAATCTCAACTTACATAAGGATAAAAACAGAGTTCGGAAAAGAATACATATAGCATATGTTTGTTCTTTATAGGTAAATGTGGAAAATCACATCATTGTGTATTTAAAAGTAATGGAAGAGGGAGGTTGAGCGAATTTTTATTGTGATATTATTAGGTTTTGGTGAGAACATGTACAATGTAATCAAGCAATTCACGATTTCAGTTTTTTCTGCTTATTTAACACTCCAATGTGCAAGGTCATAAGTCAATGTGCCAAACTGTTCAGAAGTCACAGAATCTGTTTGTACATCTGAATTGGCCGCAGGATCTGTGACATCCTATGAAAAGTAATGCATTATTTCCGCAGGCAACATTAAACATTTCTAATGCATGCTGTCTTGTCTTGCCAATACTACTTCCAGTTAACCTATAATATTTTATTTTACTTTCATTTCACAATTAATGTTTTCTTCATGGTTTGGTGTCCTTGAGTTCTGCCAATTTGTTGTGATATCTGGTGAACACTCACTTCCAGGAACCAAGCTACGTCCATGGAAACTTTTTGGTTTCTTCAACAAGTTATAGTCTAAAGCTGCAAAAAAGTCTAATGATTTTTACTGTTTACTTTCACTGATAGTGGTAAAATGCAGCGAATAGCCATATAAATAAAAACAAAATGTAATTTACCATGATCAAGTTTGGAAGCAGAGAGGCCAGTTAGGAGGTGATTATACCCATTTACATGAGGGAAGATAGTGCCTAAGAGTATTGTAAATACTGTAAAAGTAGCCAATAAGTTTACACAGAGCTTGTCCCCAAACATTCTTCTGTTGGTTTCTCAACTTTATCACATATAAAGTCAGTCACTTAGGAACTATGACATAGTAACCAGTGTATATTTCTTTTAAACCATCTCCTGTATTTGTTCATCAAAGCACATAATTTCTTTTGCTAAATATTACCCAACTGAGCAATCATCCTTGTAATATTTCTTCTAAAACTGAAACATTTTCTAAAATTTTTTCACTATTTTCCTTACTATCTCATGTGCATAAATCTATATTTCAAATATGTTCATTTCCCACGATGCCTTCTAATTATGCTAGTTTTCCTTCTTATTTCCTTTCCCCACTCACCCTGGCCATCACGGTTATAATGTATGGTATAATATAATGGTGAAGACTGATAATCACTAAGCAAATTTAATTCTTTTTCATTTTAACTTCTATTCATCTGCATAATGCTGGTTGTGATATCCCATCTTACAGCCTGAATGTCCAAGTGAGTTATTTGGTGACAATGACTAGAAGAGAAAGTAATATGTGAAGATGACCTGTCTTAGAACACCTTTGCCTAGAGTTCCATTTCTCCTTTCAGGTGCTAGTGCAGCAATGGCCACACCAGTGCTCCCTGTCTCTTAATGCTCCACCATGATATACCCTCAGTCTGAGTGTGGGATTCTTCTCATAGACATTTCACATCTTAGAACTGTAGAGGCTTGCTATTCTTCAGGTGCATTTCGTGTGTATAGATGCATTGCTTTTTCTCTCCATATTCTTCCTAAGTCACCTGAAAGCATCACGTTCTTCTTCTACCTTATCATTACGAACCTGTGACTACACACATCTGGTCATAGTAGATTTCTGAAACAACTGATGTTATAGCAGACTTGTTTCAAACAGAATCATTTCTTGCAACTTTTGAACATGACTAAAGAAAAAGATTCTCTCCCTCTGTGGGTATAGTTGTAATTTTTTAAACATGCAAATGTTTGGTCTTATTTATGTCTATACCATGTAAAAAAACAGTACCACCTGGACATCAAGGACATAGGATAAATTACCCAGACCTATACTAATGAATTTGCATAATGTAGGAGGTAATGTTTTGTCTTGTATGAGGCTTTTCTTCCAGTTGTTCTGTTGATCTGCACACTGAGCTCAGGCAATTGCAGCCTCTGTGGGTTAATGACACAATCACTATTCAGGTTGTATATCCTGCTCTCAACGGGAATGGGGTCATCTTGTATTTCTCTAATCAGTTCGTAAGGTATCTGTGGCATTTGCACAACATGACTGGCATCAAGGGAGAGGCACACAATTAGATGCAGACATCCAGCTATTGTAGATATAAAATTGTAGGTAGAGAGATAGATAGATAGACAGATTGATTGATAGACTGATAGATAGAGAGATAGATAGTAACAGGAACCTGGAGGTGCTGCAGAGATGTGAGGACCTGTAATGTAGCCCCCAGTTGTACACCCTGGGTGGCAGAGAAAACACTGCCAGAAATTCCTGTCCCTGGTGGTTTCTCTGGACACACTATAGCAGATGGGTAGTAAGCAGTAGAAGAAGAAGTTTGTGACACTATACATAACACAAAGTAAAGGAGAAGCATGGGGAGGGTATATGAAAAAATCTCGCCGTCTTTGGAAAATCTCACCGAAGAAATCCCTTTCCAAGAAGAATGGAAAGATGAGATGGCTCAGAGGCGGGATGGAAACCCTATTGGGACAACAATGTAGAACGAGGGTGAAGGGAGGTGGGTGGGTGCTAGTGACAGCAG